AATAATATATGACTAGATATTTTTCAAGACACTTCTATAAAGCTTAAAGTGACATTAAAAGGCTTAACTAGGTTACTTAGGTTAACTATGCAGGTTTGATTATTATGCAAGTTATTGTATAACGATTTATTCTGTAGATTATCGAAAAAATTTATAGCTTAAAGGGACTGATAATTTTAATTAAAAACTGATTTTATTCTAGCTGAAATAAAATAAATAAGACTTTCACTAAAAAATAAATACATAAATAAAAAATTATCAGACATACTGTGAATATGTCCTTGCTCTGTTAAACATAATTTGAGAATTATTTAAAAAAGAAAAAATTAAAAACGGGGCTAAGAATTCTGACTTCAACTGTATAGCGCATGTGTTTGGACTGTGGGGAAAACCAGAGCGCCCAGAGGAAACCTACGCAAACACAGGGAGAACATACAAACTCCACACAGAAAAACCCACTGGCCCAGTCAAGACTCTAATCAGCAACCTTCTTGCTGTGAGGCGACATGGCTAACCACTGAGCTGTGTTGCCACATAAAGGGAAAAATGACTTATTATTCAAACTTTTAGAGTATCTTTTTTATAATAATATGATTGCTGTATTTGCTTGTTTATCACTTTCACCGCACCAAATAATGAAGATTTAATAAGCTGTTTATTTCTAAACAAATATTTTCACATTAATCTGGCCTACGACATGCAGGAGATATTGACTTACAATGCTTTGAATAGTTTAGGCCTATTATTTTTTTAACAATGTACAATACGGCTCCGATTGTCAACATTAGCTAAATTAAACTCACAATGAAAACTACAAAAGCATCTTAATCTTAGCTTCTTACTTAAATGTTTAATCATTCTTAGTTCATGTTTTAGTAATTTGTTAACATTAAAATACCATACAGCATATTGTTTCAACAAGATTAACAATTAATAACTAATAAAAATTTAGTTGTACATTTGTAATTAGCATATATCAAACACCAACATTAGGATAACAAACTGTGAAAAAAAAACTGTTCATTTTAATACATTAACTAACATTACTAAGGAAATATTATTGTACAGGGCTACCTTTTGAACTTGATAAACATTTTTGCTATTTTTTAAACATTTGTTTACTCTTAAAATCTACATACAATAAAACAATACACTATTTATGTATTTGTTTGTTTGTTTATTTATTTGTTTATGCATGCTATTATACCTAATATCCTCTTTTGCAGCTCAGGTCAATATCATGATAACACTATATCATGATAAAAGATTCAACAATAAACACAATAAGAAAATGTGATACTGTGAGAAGCTTTCTCAATTTAAGTATAAATATACCAGTATACAGTAATCCTTTAGAAAAGGAAAGTTGTTGAACCATTTAGCCAACATTTTTGTGATACTGAAATGTACTTCTAGGTACAAATCACTATGACCAAATAAATACCACAAAACAACTTAAACGTGTCTATGATTTGTAATCAAATATGTTTGCCTCACCTGTTTATCTGCTTATAGACAACTTTTCTGATGTGATAGATCACTTTGTACGGTGTTGTACTTGTGATGCAAAATAGATCAGGTTTAAATCCAAGTATGGTTCAACAAAACAGAAAGAAGAAATGTCAAATCATGGCAAACTATGTGGCCATGGTGTAATTTTCTCTTTCTTTTGATTTTGAAAACAGTCAGTCGATCGCAAAGTGATATGTATGAGAAGCCCTGCTTTCTTATGAACATGGACATCCAAGTGTAGTGTATAGGAAAACACAGCCTAATGTATTTCATCTCTGCAAATGTAGACAGTGTCCTCTAATGGATTTGTCATCTGAAGCCTGCAATTAAACATAACCGGAGCAACTTATTTATTTATTTTTAAAGAGACTTATTCAGGGGCAAGTATTTTCAATGAGCCTGGATTGTAAAATTCTGTACCAGCAGCTCTTTCAAAGAATATGAATGCTTGTGGATTTTAGCATACTATGAATAACTAACAAGTAACAATACAATGCTGAAATTATTCAAAAATAAATAACAAGTCAAAGATTTAGAAGTCCAAACTGAATCCTGAACATGGATTTGAAGTGAGTTGAGACAGGAGGAAAGAACAGAAAGAGGTTAATCAAGGAAATTGGCAAAAGAACAGTGTAAGAAACAAACTGCATATTGCATGGCTCTTGTGTGGTCCAGCGGCTTTAGCTTTTTAATTTGAATGAACAAACACATCTACTACTGTAAATGCGTCTATTTGCATTTCTCTGTCCATTCTCTGTTGATCTACAGTGTCCGGCTGATACACGTCTGCATTTTAGATTTTCAACTCAACATCAAGTTATCAATTTTTTGACATTTGTGAATCGATTCAGAATTGTCCACAGCCATAATGCATCAAAGAACCAAGATTTCCACCCACCCGTATATACCAAATAAACTGTCAAATCAATATTGCAATGATTCTGTTAGTCTTACACAGCCAGACTTTTTGACTGACAGCAGAAGGTCTAAACTTCAAGTTTGTTTACAATTGCCAAATACAGCTCAAAAGGCCATCTAACTGACATGTAAAGCATTTTTAAGTTAGTAAAGTTGTTTTAAAGTTGTAAATATGGAAAAATAACATTCATTCAACAACAGACCAGTGTGCACAGTTTATGAACATGACAGAAACCTCTCTAACATGCGATAGAATTCAGCCAACAGGACCACAACTTGAAAACCCGCAAAGTGTTTTCCATTTTGTGTGCCTTATGCAACAGAAATTTTGCCAAAAAATAATAAGCATGAGGTCTGAGACTAGGATCATCTTGACAAAAACTGTAGCCACTTCAACATGTCAAAGCAAGATATAGTTCACCCAAAAGTGAAAATCTTGTCACCATTAACTCGTGTCATTCTTAACATTATGCATTTCTTTCTTCAGCTAAACACAAAACAATATATTCTGAAGAATGTTGCAAATTACAGAAAATTAGCAGCCACTGTAGGTACAAAAAATACTATGGAAGTTAATGGATGCTGCTGTCCAACACTCTTTAAAGTATTTCCAGAAGAATGGAACTCAAACAGGTTTGGAACCAGTGGAGGGACAGTAAATGACTATCCATTTCAGATGTTCTCCTAAATGGTAGGATCAGGGCAAGTTGTCACAAGGCCCTAATGTTGAACCTATAAGCTTATGAATCAAAAGCCTAATTACACAAATCTTTGTTTTCGTTGAGAAACTTATTAAATATTAATACAAAATATTATATTTAATACAAAATATTAGTTCATAAATTAGGGAGATTTGGAGGATTCATTTGTTCAAAAACAGACTCAAGCTCTGTCCATGGTTCTGGATGTAACACATGGCATGTGGTTAATGCTTGCTGTCCATGGTGCTGATTTTGTGCTTGGTACAGACAGGCGTGTACATGTAGTGTTAAATCGTGGATTCAATTTTTCCCCCTGTATTTTTAGTTTCTCTTAAATTCACTACACTGGAGGAACAATGTAAGACATTAATCAATTAATCTCTATCATTTAATATTAATTGTTTATTATTCCAACAACTAACCTTCTTAGGGAAAACAAACAAAACATGCATCAGTTCCAAAGAAACAGACATGCACAATCATTAGTTAAAAATGCATGTATGGAGCTTGGTGTGAACTGCTGTCAGCAAAAATGGACTCAATCAATTCCATTTCACCACTACATTTTCGTGTGTGCGCTGAGAAAATCCTGGGAACTTCTTTATTGATTAAGAACTGTGTTGAAAACCTTTGCCAAATCTTTATCAACGCTTCAAAAAAGATTCAATTTTGTTGCCACTGAGTTGGAATAAATTATTAAACATGCTCTGTAATCTCTGCACCACATCCCAGACTAACCAACTAATAGAATAAAAAAACAATTGTGATGGACCAGAAAGCCAAAAACTGACTTAGACCCATTTCCAGATATCAGCTACAGGCAACTTTATTATTCTATTCTTTGTAGTTCAGCTATTCATATTTTTCAGTAGACATAATCAAATATTTTTTACACATCCTCTCTCATCCATTCTAAAAATAAATAAATAATTAAACACACACACACACACACACACACACACACACACACACACACACACACACACACACACACACACACACACACATAAACAGTGTAGATAAATACACGGTATGTGAATGTAGGGTGTAGATGAATGTAGACAAAAAAAAAAAAAAAAGGTTGAACACTAACTGCAACTGTCTACTTTCTCTCACCCTACAGTCTGTATAGTTGATTGTTCAATGGTGTGGGTGTGTACTCAAGATTTGAGAATTAACAGTGCTTTGTTGATTTTGATATTGCCTGTGATAGCTATGTGTGAATGTATGCTTTATGGGTTTATACAAGATTATAAATAACAATTGTCCATTTAAAAGCCACTAAATAAAATCAATGAAAACGTGTTTAACGTACTTCGGACACGTTCATGCGTTTGCTTTATTCTATCTAACCTTGGTTGCCATTTGAAAAGCCTGCGTGAGTGCCTCTAGGCACACTTTACCTCATGTAATATACCAACATCGATGGCAGAAACTAAAATTAACCTAATGTCTCATCAATTAATCAAACATTAAAAGCCACGCTCCCTTCGTTCACAATATACCACACCAGTACTTAGTGCCAAATTCACAAAGCAGCTGCAATTTGCATGACTGGCGCCCTTTTCCTCGGCTACCCGCATAAACGAGAAACAAAATAGCCACTTTCTGCCGCGCGCGTGATCTACGGGCGCGCTTATGCGGAGTGACAGGAACAAGACGCACTCAACTCATTGTGCTATTCACTGTTCTCTCTCTCTCTCTCTCTCTCCAAACACACACGGATATATATATATATATATATATATATATATATATATATATATATATATATATATATATATATATATATATATATATATATATATATATATATAGTAGCTAAAACTACACTGTGCACTGTGTGAAGTGTAAGAGAGTGGGACACACCTGGTTTTTGCCCCGCTGTCCGTCTTCGAGTTCCGGTGAGCTGTTCATGATTCCCCATCGATCATTGAGCATTCTCCGGAGAAGAGCCAACCCTAAACCGCCTGTCAGTTACAGGCGGTGGGAAAAAAAACTCCTTGTCGTTCAGTCGTTTCCCGATTCAGTTATTCCATGGAAATAAATAACCGCTGGGGTAAGGAAAAGAATGGTGAGGAGCGTGCGCGAGATCGAGAAGACACTGATTTAGCCTCTACTCCGGGACCACACTGACTAATTCTGGTCTAAAAGGGGCGGCGAAGACTCTCGCCCCACACACATGGTAATATCATACGTACTTGATAAGGAAACAGTAATAAATAAACTCCTTAGTCTTCCGTAAAGTTGTTCTCTGAGCCGTTTTTCTTTCCTTCCGCGGCGTTATAAAGTCTTCATGTATTCCACACCAGCTACATTCAAGAGAACCACTGAGGAAACGGCGCGAAGGAAAGACGCCTGCGTGTAGCCTACATCCAAGCCAAAGTCGTTGAAAAGCCGAAAAACTCCAGATGTCTTTAAAGAAAAACAAATGATAGGCGTTCAGTCTCGAAGAGGCGGTTAAAAGTGATAAAACTTTGTATTCCTGAGCCGTTTGGCGAGATGGACGGAGTGTGGCGGTAAAGATGTTTCTTCGAGCACAGTTCTTGCTGCTGGTTCGAACGGGGACGGGTTTTTGAGGAAGAAATGAAATACGGTTTACGATGTATCCTAGTTTGCCGGACAGAAGGTAAGGGACTGTCTCGCTTTGACACAACTAGCGCGGCAGGACAGACTAACCGGGCTCCGTTTTGTGAGTGAAGCTCCTACTCTGATCGAGTGTCAAAAGCTCTCCGTTAAGCGCGCTCCCGGTGCGCGCTCAGTTTCTCTTTTTTTCTCCCAGACACAATCTGCACTGATAGGATTCCTCCAAACCAAACCCTCGTCTAATTGATGAAACTCCCAATTTACTGTCAGAGTGTAAAAATAAAATAAAATAAATGAATCTAATAAAAAGATACGTCGGGGACGGGTAAGTGCAGTGAAATAAATGAAGCTGTTTTAAAGGGGTTCGTTTCCTAATAATGTTTTCTTAAAGCAAGGGTCTTCGTCCTGGAGGGCTGATGCCCCTGCTGAGTTTAGCTCCAATTTAGCTCCAAAGACAGAATGTCACATACTGTACACCTTGCATGACCTGAGGGTGAGGAAATTAACTGCAACTTTTTCCCACTTTTTCCTCATGTTGTCTACCCCTGTTAATTGATTATCTGTGAAGAGTAGTCAGGCGATCATCCAGAGTCAGTCAGTTTAGCACCAATTACAGAACATTTCCCCTATGATGAGCATGAACAGGTGTAATACAAGTGATAATGAGTACACTTGTTAAGATAACATTATGGGCAGTCTGACAAAATGGGGTGCCCGAGGCAGAAATAGAAATGTTATAGAAATGTTATTGTAAATAACATAAAGTGCCAGAGAAGGTCAATAATTGTGTGATGTTTAATAACAAATTTCAGGAGAACACAAACACTGAACTCATAATTAGCATTCACACAAATCTTTCAGTCATTACTTCATTTTCTTTTTAGCTTACTCCCTTTATTAATCAGAGGTCACCACAGCGGAATGAACCACCAACTTATCCAGCATGTTTTACGCAACAGATACCCTTCCAGCCGCAACTCATCACTAGGAAACACCCATGCACACTACTTCACACACATGCATACAGCAAATTTAGCTTATTCAATTCACATATAGCACTTGTCTTTGGACTGTATAGGGCAAACCGGAGCACCCGGAGAAAACCCACGCCAACACGAGGAGGACATGAAAACTCACACACAGAAATGCCAACTGAACGAGCCTAGGCTTGAACCAGTGACATTCTTGCGGTGAGGCAATCGTGCTACCCACTGCGCTTCCGTTATGCCCACCCCAATAATCCAATCAACATTAAAGAGAATCCCTATAAATAATCAAGCATGTCCTACCTACATTTTCTGATCAGCTTTGCATCCCTCTACCAGCCCAGCTCCATACTTTCAAGCAGATTCATACCCAGCTCAGGGAGATAGAGCATTCTGGGATTTGGCAATAGATGCTGAAGTCGGACTCTTCTCTCTCTCTTAACGAGGGGAATATCCTGAGCTCAGATGTCTTTTTAGCCTCAGAGCCCTCTCCCCGGACAGTCAGCCAAACACACTTTGTCTTTACTCTGTTGTCTATGTGGCTGTGAACTCGGGAAATTATTTTAAACATAAAAGCTCATTGAACCACCAACTTATCTAGCATGTGTTTTGCGTATCGGATGCCCTTTCAGCCACAACCCAGCACTGGAAACACCCACACACCCCTTGCATTCACACCCACACATATACACTATGGCCAATTTATACAATTCACCTATAGCGCATTTCTTTAGACTGCGGGGGACACCGGAACATCTGGAGGAAACACATGCGAACATGGCGACAACATGCAAACTCCACACAGAAATGCCAACTGGCCTAGCCGAGGCTCGAACCAGCGACCTTCTTGCTGTGATGTGACATCGCTACCCACTGCGCCACTGTGTCACCCCATATTAGTTATATTAATCATAAATGTCAAAAGTTTTAAACTGCGCAGGTAACTGAGCACTACTTCGCACTTCATGAAAATACATTTAACATTTCAGCTATAAATGTACAATTTTGGGGAAGTTCTACAGAAAATGTCCATGCAATCACTTGTACCACAAGACACATGTACCATCTATCCTTAAAATCTATAATGTTGACCTTTAACACTATTTATCTTATACTCTCATCTCTATCCTGTGCACGTAGCAAGTTAGACATCAATATGAAGAGTGTGTGCAAACTTTGATGTTACAGGATTGAAGATGTGTGCAGTCTACACACTCTACAGGGCCTCAGGAAACAGCCGCCTCATGCTGAGACTACTTGATAACGGACATAGAGGAATTTTTGGATGCAGGTGTGTGTGTGTGTGTGTGTGTGTGTGTGTGTGTGTGTGTGTGTGTGTGTGTTTGTGTGTGTGTGTGGAGTGTCCAGTAAGACCTGCATCTTAGCCAGACGCCTAAGGCAAGAGTCTATTGGACAGACTTAAACTGAAAAGGGGGTGGGAACCTCCTCCAATGATAAATGTGGACAGCAGCTTTTAGAGTGTATTTACATCTTATTCTATGCGTGCTTGTCTGAGTGGTCTTGGCTTTGTGTGTGTTATGTTTTTAACATAAAACATGTTGCTCTGTCTATGTGTGCTTGCAGCGAAGCAGTGCGTTTTCACGGATGGTGGAGCATGAGGACAAGAGCAGAGATCTGTGACGAGGCAGTGGCCTGCATGCTCTTCCTTAAATGCCAGGCTCAAAGTTTGTGAAACATTTAAAGAGGTTGGGGAAGGAGAGGGACTCAAGATTTAAGCCTAAAAAGAGAAGTTCAAAGGCCTTAATATATTTGAAGCAGAAAGAAACATAGCGGGTGTGAAATCTTTCTGAGTAAATAGGTAAAATGAAGCTCATTTGGAATTCAAAAGAATTGCCAAATCCACCCCTCTGACTGAAAAAAAGAGCATTTTAAATTACTATTGGTCTGTCAAACCTGGACATCCTTGTGTTAAAACCTGAACACACTAAAAATGAGTAAGTCATTTTAATTCAAGCAACACTAATACTGTTTTTTCTAGTCTCAGTTTAAGCCAAAGCTGCTTAACTTAAAATAGTTTATTATGTAAATAAGAAATACATAACTGGAGCTTCAAAAATTATTCTCATTCAAACATTCAAGTTGCAATGATCAGATGCTTTCTTAATTGCTGTTTTCGCATTGATGTCATTTTTGTTATTTTTTATACTTAAAGAAAGGTGCACAGCACACATTTACATATCTATTTAAATTCTCTTTCAGCAGAGCAAATTACATCATGATGTTTATGTTTTTATTGCTTTAAATGATTTTTAGATATCTAAGTTTAAAAAGTGTAAAAACAACTTGGAACACCGAACAGAAATTTTAAAACAGAACAAGCAAGAGGATATTGGGGCCTTTAAAGTCCATAATATATTTTATTTTATACTACTGGGCTGTTAAATGCTTGATTCTGATTGGCTCATAAACATATATGGACTAAGATGAATATGAACTGAGGTGTACAATTATTTTATGAGAAGCTTACAGTGTCTTTAGGCACAGTATAAAGCAGAAGTGGAAGAATTGACCTCAAATATAATGTACACCCACCACAACCATCTCGAGTGTGGATTAGTTGGCCAGCCATCACTTATTTCAGACTTATTTTGTTAAACACTTTGAACACTTGACCATTTTTTAAATTTACTGCTTTTATATTGTTTAAAAAAAGTTAGTGTCAAGAACTCTTAAAATGAAAAAAAAGTTATTTTTAGATAATAATGAATTATTCTAAAATAAAATTCTAAAATCTTATTAACCAAAAAATTAATTTTAACACACATCTTCAACGAATCACACATAGCACAAACTCTTCAACACATTTCTATTAACAACACACAGTATAGCATTTAAGCATTTTGCTTAAATTTCTAAACCAAACTACATTTTGTTTTAATTGTTAAAGATTAAAGGTGCAGTTGGTGATTTTCTTGAGAAACATTTTTTTGTTGTGCTAGTTAAAAGTCTCTTCACATTTCACTAGTAATGATTAAAGTAAATTATCTAAATGTATTTATATGTATTTTTATATTGAAGGTAAGGCAAAAGACAAAAAAAATTGTATTCAATTAAAATTTGCCGGGCCATCAATTCCCATAATTTTGATAAGTAGCCCAAACTGTCTGTCAACAAAAAAAATCTGCGCACCCCATACGCACAGACTGATCCACCATTTGCACATGCACACGCGCCCTGTTCAAGTGAAAATTAGAGAGACAGCAGTAAGAACAAATACTGAATTAAAACTTTTTAAAGTCCTGAATCAATTTTGGAGTTATTTTTGCACGCTGGAGAAAGGATGACACCATGGCTGAAGTATTTCTTTTAGACAGGTAATGTTATTTTAAAACTGTTTTAGTCACGCAA